GACACGTATGACGAATTTCTCGTTTCTCGTTCCTGAGCCTGGCGAAACTTTATTTTCTGATCGCGCGATTCTGCGTTGGAGTCGAGAGAGTTTCTTTCGTTCCAGTTTTAATTATTTCAGCATTGTATTCTGTGTTGCGATGGTTTCAATCTTTGAGTAGGAAAGGACACAGGATCGATATCAATCGTTGCGCGATATTTTGACAGCAAGGATCGAAGAATTCTTTAAAAAATGGAATTAACGATTGATCCGTTTTGGTCCTCGTTCTAGGAAACGGATGATGATCTAGAAAAGAAATTGAAAGAAGATACAAAGTTAATAATCCTCCTCGTGATATGATATAACAATAAAATGCTAATTGATTTGTCCAATATAATATTCTTTTAAAATCTCCCTTGTTTATCCTTATTTTTACTTCTAAACATTAGGATCATTAGAGTGTGATTGTTCAAAAAAATTGTACGTAAAAAAGGATCCACAGAAATATTCGTATACGCGTTGAAACGATGAAGTTGAAATGATTAGTATTTCCACCAAGCAGAAGGTATCTTCGTTCAAAGCTCGACGAATGCGTCCGTGATTCACCGTGTTCCTCATTGTACCGTCTCGTTCTAATTTCTCCTCGTGCAACTTAAGGATCTCGCTGAAGAACGATAATACATATTAACAAACACGAAACGCGATAAATAAAGCTGATCGGCTGATGGACGATTGCGACGCACAACCGCGAGCAATCGTGTTAAAATCGACGAAAATGCAACGGTCGGTTGGTTGGCTGTTGGCCCGCATTCCGCGCGATCCCCGTGCGCGAGCTGTTCCTCCTAATTTTCTGTCGCGAGCCTTCAATAAATTTCACGCGGAACTTGGCACGCACGCACGCACGCACGCACGCACGCGGCCGATTCCCCTGGAAAACGAGGAAACCGGCGAGGAGAATCGGCCGCTTCCTATTTCGCAGCCAGTCGCGCTCATCATCTCTAGTCTCCTGTCTGACTATGTCCTCCCGTTTCTACTTGCGCTCCGTAAATACGAACGATTTACGAGTTTCGCCGGCGTCCAAGCGTTTATTCCGTTATTCGTCCCACGCCACAGATTCTCACGTTGTTCGTTGTTTGTTTATTTTATGTACATAACCACGAAGATTAATCGTTCATTCGTTTTCTTTCTTTCTTTTTGCTTATTTGTAGTATTACATTTATTTCGTATTTCTGATATTTATTCATTATCTCTGTTTATACGTATTTCGCTCGGCATTTATATAAGCATTGTCCATTTTTAAATCGTCGAAGGATCTAGAGTAGAAATTATAGCAAAGAAAGGAATACTGTGAGAGGAACACAGCGCGAATGTAATTTAGGAAATGAAGTCAAATTGGTTGTGGAAGGAATTCCATCAAGTGGGGGAATTTATTAGAAACGAATTATTTTTCGTTAATAGATAACGAAAAGTGAGTCTCTTTTCGAGATCACTACTATTTCATCCTAAAGAGAGATAAGACTCGACACTAATTCAACCAATTCACTATATTTATTGTATATAATGTGGATTCGATTAAAGAAATTTATTCGATCGAAATTGAATAAATTTCTCATTGAAAACAAGATGGAATCGAATGTTATTGGGATCTGTCGAGTAAATGTTTCTTTTTTGTTAT